GGGAGGGGGCGCAGGGGGGCAGAAGGGGCGTCCTGGGGGTGAGGGGATCCCCCTGGGGGGAGAGAGCGGGGGTCCCAAGGGGGAACGGGGGTCTGCCCGGGGGGGAGCGCGGGGAGCCCTACCCGACAGGCCCGGCGCCTGGGGGGAAGCGGGCAAGAGGACCCGCCCCAGGGAGTGCTTGTCATGGCCACCAGGCGGGGGCGGGCCGGAGGAGCTGGGCAGGGGTGGCTGTAGCCCTGGCGCACAGCAGGCGCCCTTGCCCGGGGGGGCCAAGGGCAGAGGGGTTCCGCCAGCAATCCTCCACCAGTCACCACCGCCAGTGGTCCCAGGGGACGCGGTCTGCCCACCCCGGCAGTGGCCACCGTCTGCAGGAGCAGGGCCAAGCGGCCACCGGCCCCCGAGGTCCCCCGGCCATCCTCCTGCCCACGCTGGCGGCCCCCTCCCACCCAGGCGCGCATGTGAAGGCCGGCCTAGTCCCCGGGGACCTGGCAAGCCTGCGCCGGAGGTAAGTGGCCTTCGGCTGCCTTTGAGTATTTTTCCTCAGGCTTCCTTCCCACCCCCTCGGTCAGCTGCCCATCCGCTCTCCAACCCAAAAGATGCAACCAGACAAAAACGCAGCCGAGTGTGGGAGGAGGAACAAAGCCTCTGTCTCGGGAAGCCAAGGCAGGGGAAGGTCACAGGGTCACCTGCGGGCTCCCACGGGAAGCGGACGGACCCGCCAAGGCCTGCCCCTCCCGTCCCTCATCCGGTTCCAAAGAGGCAAGCTCAAAGTCACCAAAGCCACAAGGCCCACTAGCCAGGAGCCAAGCCGTGGCCGTGGCCGCAGCGGGGCGAGGGAGGCTGTGCTCTGCGTGGCTCGGACTCACTTGGAATCCCAGACACCAGCTTCAGAGGCCTCAGCACACGCACGGCCCGCAGCGTTCGCAAGTCGAAGTCGGTTCCGGCCGTGGCGAGGATCCTGGCAGGAGCGAGGAAAAGACGGGATGAAGCGTCTCCACAGGCAACACACCCTCCTCCCACCCCTGCGCCCGGGACCCCCACCGCCCGCCCACGACCGGCCCAGGAGGGGCGGCCCGCCCGCCAACGGAGGCAGGACCGGAGCCCGCAGGAAGGCTGGCGATGGCCGTGCCCCGCTCCACGGCCCCGCCCCTGGCTGGACACGGCCTCCGGCCTGGCGGAGCTCCTGTCTCCAGCGGAGTCCGGGTCCGGCCCACAGCCCGAGCCAACCCCCACTGCACAGCCAGCGGCCTCCGGGGGGGTGAGGCGAGCGGAGGACCCGGGGCCTG